ATCGTAGTGGGAGCTTCTGGCTGTCGCTACTGCTTTCTTGGCTGCCTTTTTGGCCGCCTTGTATTCGCAGAGCTTCTCGCTGGTCTTGTCCTGAAGAAAGGCCTTGTAGAGCCGTTTCTTCAGGTGTACGGCATCTTGTACTTCCGGTGTCCAGAGCCATGTATCTCGTTCGATGCGTCTCCGTCCTGGCTTGGTGCAACCAAGCTGTTGGCAGCCGGCAGTGTGAACAGTGCTCTTCAACATGGACCACGCTTCCTGTGGCCCGTCGACCATCTGCAGGAACTGCTCCAGTTTGATGAGGGGTCCCGCCATCTTCTTCTGGTTCCACCACTTGATTCGTGGCTGGTCTGCGTTCCTTTTGTCAATCTTGGTCTTGGGCTTGCTGATCCTGATCTTCGCCATCAGCGGCCTGTGCTGACTGCTCGATTCGCACGGGTACACCTTGGCGTTGAGCACGTTTTTAGCGGCTCTTCGTCGTACGATGATGTAGTCGATCTGTGTGTGGTGGCTCCCGTTTCTGCTATGGTAGGTGAGGAGTTGAGATTCTCGCCTAATGAAGCAGGTATTCGTGATGGTCATATCATGGGAGTCGGCAAAGTCCAGGATCCTCTGGCCATTCTCATTCGTATCGCCTGTGCCGTGCCCGCCGTGGCACTGGTGTCCGTTTTTGTCCCGCCCTACATGACCATTCAGGTCGCCCGAGATGATGATGTCGTCTTCGTGTGGGATCTGCCTGAGTTGGATGTCGAGCAGTTCCCAGAAGGTATCCTTCTCCTCCTCGTGACATCCGGTCTGAGGGGCGTAGGCGAACAAGATGTGTAGGCGCTGCCTCTCGGTCGTTTGTTCTGAAACACAATCAATATGCCAGATATTTCAAAATACTTGAATATTTTGCAGTTAAAATACATGGAGATTTAAACAACTATGGGTTTTATCTAACTGCCCATGCAGTATTACAAAATTAGTCTGCAAATTAAATTCCATCCATTTATACTAAAAAAAAGATTTCTTGAAAACATAACAAAAGAAAGACTTGAACTGCAATGAAAGAACAACAAAAGACCCTAACAGGAAACTAACAGAGCCCTTCCACAGCATCACAAACCTCATACAACTGTAGTAATGCTTTCCACAGCATCACAAACTTTCACACAACTATAGTAATGCTTTCACTGCTATTCCCCTTAAACTGTGGAGAATCAGGGAGAGGATCATCCAGCTGGCCAATAGGAAGCAGAAAACAAAAATTCCAGCAGCTTTCTGTCTCTCTGTTCTGACTACATTTGTTTTTATAGTAAGGGAAAACATGATTGGGTGAGGGGAAATGTCAAAGCTACTACTGAAATACTTCAAAATGACATGGTTTGGCAGCCAGCAAGGTACTATGTATAGTTCAAGAAAGGAGAGCCTAAATGCTAGGAAGCAGATAAAAGGTAAGAGTTCCCACAAATAGAAAATAGCTACACTTCATAGTTCCAGAGAAAACACTGCAAAACCATTATTTTCTGCTGAACCAACAATTAATTAATGCAGCCTGTAAAGGCCTCCAGAAGATGCAGAATCATAAGACTACAGATCAGTGCAGTTCTTGTGTATGGAAAGATCTTAGAAATGATAATGGCATAAGGAGTTGCCACCAGCATGAATACTGGTCAGTGTGCACTCTTCCAATGAAAAGGATATCATGGCTCACATATGTTTCTCAAAATGAAATTACATTATCATATTCAAGAGTGTCCTTCTGGATTTCTCAGAGGCTTAAAGAGAGTTACTTTGTTGGAAGCACAAGCAAGCCCAATTAGACTTGAACAGCTGTTTCTGGTGTTCTTAAACAGCGTGATTTAACACAGCAGTTGTATTCTTCTCTGAGTCAGTCAAATATATATATCTATATATCTATACATCTATATATATATCTCTATATATCTCTCTATATATGTATGGCATTCAGCTTTGTTTGGGTATTTTTCCACGTCATTATAGTTGTGCTTTTAAAGTTGTAGCAACGTTTCGGCAGAATCTCATCTGCCATCATCAGGCTTCTATATTGTGTTCGTCTGACGATGGCCTGATGATGGCAGATGAGATTCTGCCGAAACGTTGCTACAACTTTAAAAGCACAACTATAATGACGTGGGAAAATACCCGAACAAAGCCGAATACCATATATGTAAGTACCCCCGAAAACTTAAGAAATTTTATACATATACATATACATATACATATACATATACATACATACATACATACATATATATATATATATATATAATCAGAGTTGCTTCAACAGTGAGATTTAAATATACACCTGTTTTGAAAAAAACAATGCAGAACATATTGTGCAAAACATTTTTTAGTTCTATAGTAGGACATGGTGGCTCAGGGGCTAAGACGCTAAGCTTGTTGATCAGAAAGGTCAGCAGTTTGGTGTTCAAATCCCTAGCACCACGTAACGGAGTGAGCTCCCATTACTTGTCCCAGCTTCTGTCAACCTAGTAGTTGGAAAGCATATAAAAAATGCAAGTAGAAAAATAGGAACGACTTTGGCGGGAAGGTAACAGCATTCCATGTCCCTTGGGCGTTTAGTCATGCCGGCCACATGACCACAGAGACATCTTTGGACAGCGCTGGAGATGAGCACCGCCCCCTAGAGCTGGAAACGACTAGTACATACGTGTGAGAGGAACCTTTACCTTTACCTTAGCAGCTGAGGATGAAGAACCAAGAGTAGTGTAAGGTCGTGTTATATTAGTTCACAGATTCTAAAATAAGACAAGATTAAGTTTCAAGACCATGACTATGTTCCTATACATGCTATATACCTGAAAGGAATAGCAAGAAATCTTAGGAACTAATCTTACTTCTCTTTGAACCTTCATTGTGATTAGTAGTCCAATTTAAAAAATTTACCTGAAGCTCAGCATGCCATCCAATTGAAAATAATTCCAGTAAAGTATAGTGGAGAAAGTACTAGGATCAAATGACTGTCCAATGTGCTCCAAGGGGGTTATAGCAGGAACAACTGGAAGAGTAAGTTTTATGTTGTGTCTCGAGCTCCTAGTTAGAATGAGGGAAACCCTGAATAGCTCCAGGAAGCAAATAAACAATATTTGGGTTGAAGAATAACTCACATTTGAAACTTAAACAAGTCTTTAAACTCCACTTTCTGCAAATAAGCAACCATGGCTGCTCCCGATTCAGATAACACCATGGGTCTCAGAGAGGTTTCTGCCCTCTTAATGAATCATATAATAAAACAGCTTTGGGGGGAAAACAACTTTGGGGGAACACAGCTGGTGAGTTAGCATGCAATTAAGTTCTTGCCAAACCAGGAAATGAGTCAAAATGAGGTCACACCTCAAACTCCTTTTTGTCCGGCTTTCCCGGCAACTCTTTTTGCCTCAGGAAGGTTACAAAACATCTTTTACATCATCACACTTCTGTGAAATCAAACTGTCCACTTAGGTAGCAACACTGATTGACAATCAATTTCACATGCTGTTGTGCAAATGGAATAGACAACAGGTGGAAAGCATAGGCAGTTAGCAAGACATCCCCAATAAAGGAGTGGTTCTGCCAGTGGTGACCACAGACCACTTCTCGGTTCCTATGCTTTCTGGCTGATGGTTTGGTCACTTTTGAATGCTGGCGGTGCTTTCACTCTAGTGGTAGCATGAGACGGAGTCTACAACCCACACAAGTGGCTCAGGTAGTGCAGCTCATCCAGGATGGCACATCAATGCGAGCTGTGGCAAGGTTTGCTGTGTCTGTCAGCGTAGTGTCCAGAGCATGGAGGCGCTACCAGGAGACAGACCAGTACATCAGGAGATATAGAGGAGGCCGTAGGAGGGCAACAACCCAGCATCAGGACTGCTATCTCCGGCTTTGTACAAGGAGGGACAGGAGGAGCACTGCCAGAGCCCTGCAAAATGACCTCCAACGGGCCACAAATGTGCATGTGGCTGCTCAAACGGTCAGAAACAGACTCCATGAGGGTAGTATGAGGGCCTGACGTCCACAGATGGGGGTTGTGCTTACAGCCCAACACTGCAGGATGTTTGGCATTTGCTAGAGAACACCAAGATTGGCAAATTCACCACTGGCGCCCTGTGCTCTTCACAGATGAAAGCAGGTTCACACTGAGCACATGTGACAGACGTGGTAGGGTCTGGAGACGCCGTAGAGAACGTTCTGCTGCCTACAACATCCTCCAGCAACATCCTCCTCTGCTGCTGCTACCTAATTTTTTATTTATTTATTTTTTTGAGGGATGAGGGAGGGTAGGCTTATCCTACAGCTCAACTTAGGCACAGAAGCAATAAGACCACACACCACCTGTTTATATTTTAGGGGTGGAGCCCCCACGCTCTATATTTTGCTCACACCAGATGCATTCCCACCTTTCCTGATGTCCTATTATTATTTTCTCCCCAGTGTGACACGATTCCAGTGGGTTTGCACACCGACCTCTCCTCTTCAAACACACATGCCTAATATTTCCAATGGACAGGCAACGCGTTGTTGTTGTTGTTGTTGATGTTTTCCTGCAAAGAGAGCTAGAAGGTTCGATTCGTTCCAAGCAACACAAATCATACATCAGATCTCCCCCCTCCCACACACCCATCCCCAGTTTTTTATTTTTTAAAAAACACACAAACCCGAACACCCCCAACTTCCAGCACCCCAAGGAAGCAATTTGAATTTGCCCAGCCGGAATCCACCCTTCGTTCCTCCTTCCTCGATCGAACAGGGTGGGGGGGGTGGGGGGTGCAGCTCCATCGGGGGAGCGTTAGGACTCGCCTGCGTACAGCTGGTTGACAGCGGCAGCAGCCAATCAGGGGGCGTCTCCTTGAAGGACTTGTGACAGGCAAGGGCGGCCTTTTCGCTGAAGCTTGGCAAGCTGGCAAGGCTGGGTGGGCCCAGCTTGGATGTGGCTGCTGCTGCCGCCGCTGCCGCCGCTGCCGCTCAGGGAGGGGTTTAGAATAGCATCCGTAGCGCTGACCGGCCAGATTCAAGGCACATTAAGCTCGGCGGACACCCGCGCGCGCCTGAGCATCTTCTTCTTCTTCGGCGGCAAGCGGGGAGGAAAAGCAAAATAAAAATAAAAATAAAGGTGGTGGAAGGGGGCAGAAGCTGAGCCAGACAAAGCAAAGATGGCAGGGATCCTGGCTTGGTTCTGGAACGAGAGGTTTTGGTTGCCCCACAATGTCACTTGGGCGGATCTGAAGAACACCGAAGAAGCCACCTACCCTCAGGTGGAGGACCTCTACTTAGCCTTTCCCCTGGCCTTCTGCATCTTCATGATCCGCATTCTTTTCGAAAGGTGAGGTGGCTTAAACTACCTTGGGCATCGCCTTCCTTCGTCGTCCCCTCCCCGCCCCATCTCACCTCAGGCTCCGGTGGGGAAAAGTCCGCTCTTCCCGTTTAACAACGGCCGTACCCGGCTGGCTGAGGTGTCGCGTTGGCCTCTTGGGGTTGGTTGCTGTGCGCCTGAAGCGCTATATATATATATGTGTGTGGGGTTCTTTCCCTACCACCAATATATACATCACCACCAATATATAAACCGGTATATATAATCATATATATTGGTCGTTTTATATATATATCTAAGTCCTAACTCCAGAGGCTAAATTAAGGGGGGGTGGACTACACAGACCCCATAAGGGTTCTTTCCCTACAACCAATACATATATTTATATATATATATATTTATATACTTATATACTTATATTTATATATATGTTGGTTGTAGGGAAAGAACCCTTGTGTGTGTGTGTGTGTGTGTGTGTGTGTGTGACTCTAATTTAGCTTCTGGAGTTAGGACTATGGGATGGACGGATCAAACTTCCCTGAAGAAAAAGAGGAGAGATGAGGGGATGTGGTTTCTTTAACACTTGTTTTAGTCCAGGGTGTGATCATTGGATTTGTAAAGCAAAAAACAAAAACAAAAAAAAAACCCAAAAAGGATTTATTTTGGCTGGGGAGCATCTGAGTTCATCGTAGATCCGCTCTTCTGTAGTATTAGAGCAGGCTGTTTTGTGATGGGCAACAAGCCCACATGATGGCATTCAAAGGCAAAATTTCACTGACAGGGATCAGCCAGTCTGCTGGTATTAGATTGGAAGAATGGGAAAAAAATTTTTGGGTGGGTGGGGGGGTTTACCCTGTGGAGAATGATATGCTTCAGAAAAAGCGAAACTCTTTGTCTCTCAATCAACTCAATCAACTTCATTTGAACAGCCTCATGGCTTTGTGTGTCAAATAAATATAGCAGGATTCAATGGAATGTGCTTTAAGATAGGCCGTCCGACGCCAAACACTGTTTTCTAACAGCAGGATTTAGGAAGGAGAAACTATAAAATCCATTGAAAGAGAGGAAAAAAAAGGTTTTCTTTACATAGTCATAGCCTTAAATGAGTTTTTTTTAAAAAAATAACTAATTTAATTCCAAGCTGAAGCTGCAGAATTTCAAGCAGGTAAAAGCAAATAGAGTCATGAGCCCTGGATCAAAATAGATCCTACAGTAAATAACTTTTCAATTTTGTCCAATTCTAAAAATAAATTTCTGATTTTTATAAGCAAGGGATTTGTATATTGTTCATGTGGTTAATAAGCAAAAAGGATTAGGGTTGTGCATTTACTTAAGAGTAATATGTTCTTGTCATAAATTAGATTACATTAATAATTAAGGTATAGTTCATGTTCATTTTTTAGTCCTCAACTCAAAAAAATATTCACCACAGGTAAAATGTCTGTTGATCAAATTAGCAATATAATAAATCATAGTTCCTAAATCCTAATGTAAACTGATAAAACATTGTAAATGTCACCCAATCCATAGAATGAAAATATTATACTGTAAAAAGGGTTTGTTGCTTAAGATAAACTTCTGCACAATTCTTTTCCCAATCCCTTAGGATTGATACTGTTTAGAATTTTACTTTTTTATTCCAGGTTTCCAGGTGATATAGTCAACCCAAATTGTTAAGGTTTTCTTTGTCATTGATTTGCTTAATATTCTGATTGTGTATAATACAGTATATCAAAGCTTCTTAATCTGACATACTAGAAGATAAAAGGATGAGGTTGATAACAGTATATGGACCCTTTTTCCTTTACTGTTTAATTTCTACCTTTAATCCCCTGACTCCTCTTCTTCATCCCACCTCTATCTTTTCAACTTGAGTTCTTGTGGGGGGAAAGATTTGTCTGTTTTCCCCAATGTAGCCAAGGTATTTCATAGAAGCTCTTTAAGAAAGGAAATGAAAGACCTTTATCACTTGCTCTTTTTCATTAAATACTACATGCTTTAAAAAAATGGTGTGTTTTTTAAAAAAAAACTTCCTCTGAATAGGAGCAACAGATAGAAACAGGTAAGTGCTTTGGGGGGAAAAGTCTGTTTATTCTAGACTTTTTTATGTGTCCATGATAGTGTTTTCCAAGGGCCATTAGATTTTTCAAGTTCTGCCTTCTCCATTGTTAAAAAATTATTCAGTATTGAAAGGATCTTGCAAGCGTCTTTCCTGTGCCTGTGGAAAAGTCTGTAGCCAGTGATACTCTGACACTCACACCCATGCCAGAGATGAACCAGCAGAAGCGATAGATCCACACTGTCCAATACTTTCTTAGGCTGTGTGGAGGAAAAAGTGTGCTAGCCTTGACATAGTTCATTTTCCTCTAATTAGAAGCTGTGTGAGGACAAAGTAAGAAATTACAAAAACAGTCAAATAGAAAAGGAGGGGGAAAAAAAAAACCCCTATGCCTCTCTCACCCCCACTCCCCACCTGTCACCACAAGCTGGCAATGTATTGGGGAAAAAAATTTCCCTGCCTTGTTTCCTTCCTCTCTCTCTCCACATACTGTAAGGTTGCCCTGTTTAAGACAGTATAGAAAGGAGAAAAGATGTTGCCTAGCTGAGAAATGTCTGTTGATATCTAGCAGCTGAAGCTCTAACTGGGGCTGAACAGTGCCCGAGAAGTCTGCTCAGCATAGTCATACCCGAAGGTAATGCTGCCGCTAGTAGCCTTATCTGCTAGTCCCTCCTTATCCAAGAATAATGCCTTTTCAGAGAAGGCAGCTGTTTCTTTCATCACCCCTTATGGTGGACACAGCAGAATTTCATATTTGAGTTAATGCTACAGGTACATTTGTCTCCCTCATCTCTAATCACATTCTTTGGTCTCCATTTTTCAAAAAAAAATTCTTGCAATTCATAATCACAGCACACATCTTCTGTTCTGATCTCACTGAACGTACTCTGTTCTTGTCCCTTATTTTCAGTTTATGGCAGAATGATCATAATAGAGCACGTGAAAATTGAGCAACATGACTGAAAGAATTATGTCATGAACAGGTATTGACAGGACAAAGCTATTATAAGTTGAAGGATATTTTGAAATCAACCAATTTATTTGCAATATGTAAGATGAGAAACAGGCTTTTGAAATAGCACCTTTTCCTTTATTTTAAAACTAAGCAACCAGAGATTCATTGTTGCATAATTATTTGCCCTGGAAAGCAACAATTTGCCTTTTATTTTATTAGCTAAATTGAATATCCAGTAATGTCCTTTTGTTCCTTATATATAAGAACAAACACTTTGCAAACATATTTAACTTGTCTACAGTGGAAGGTAAACTTAATGACCTGGAGTTTGTTTTAGGCTTTGTGTACTTGAAGAATTTCTTCTGAGGAATACTGTACAATTCCATTTCAGAAGAAACTGCATGTTCAGTATTTTTATGCACTTCATATGAATTGCTTTTTATAAAGAGTTGGCTACTCAGATTTTCAATGTTTGCATAAGGAAGATGGGAAATTCATGTGAAAACTACATGTTTTAGGTTAGGGTTACATGCTGAACTTTAATTAGCTCTGGATGAAAATTGTTTACTTTTAAATTAATATAGGAAACTCTGAATCAAATGGAACTGATTATTTTATTTATAAAGTTATATTAGCCAATTCTTGTATATTTGGAGCATTGGTGCAGATGTCTGGATCCAGAATTTTAACCATGATTTGTCAACCAAGCCACAATTTGGATAAATTCCCAATTTTAAGCCATAAACCATTGTTTACAAATCACAGTGGCTAGATTCACACACTGTGCTAAGCCAACATCAAATTCAAATGTATAATGGCTTAGTATAGTCTATAAACCTAGTCAGATTGTCCTGAGCCTCTTTGCTGTCTAATTTTTAAGGACAGAACAAAATGATGCTGCTTCCTTTCCAGAATTCTGATCATGTTAATGTTTTGTGATTGGAAATTTGTGGAAGGGAAAAGTACTATTTCAAAGCTTGGTTCAGAGACAAAGGCATGGTTTATTTAAGCATGACTTATTTAATAAAGGCATAAACTGCCATCTGTAAACACAATGGCTGGATTTGTACAGTACATTAAAGCACAGCACAACAAAACACATTATGACTTAGCATTATGTGTAAACCCAGTGACAATGTGGCTTGTGATCTGATGATTCAATGCAAAAGGCTATTGAGTTCTAAATAGTACCTGTTTCTTTTTTCTATTGGCCTGTCCATATCTCACATGCCCTATCTTTAAGTTTAAGAACAAGAAGACAGTAAAATATAATGTTTATACAAAGTATACACAAGCTGCATTCATGCAACAATTTTTGCTTAACCATTCTTTATGGAATAAATGAGAAAGTATGGGTTTACACATTATGGAGTAACTGAATCATACAGATACAGATAATCAGAGTTGGAAGGGACCTTGTAGATCATCTAGTCCAACCCCCCGCCCAAGCGGGAGACCCTACACCATTTCTAACAAATGGCAGTCCAATCTCTTCTTGAAAGTCTCAACTGATGGCGCTCCCACAACTTCCGAGGGCAAGCTGTTCCATGGGTTGATTGGTCTCTTTGTCAGAAAGTTTATCCTTATTTCCAGGTTAAATCTCTCCTTGTTCAGTTTCCATCCATTATTCCTTGTCTGGCCTACAGGCGCTTTAGTAAATAGCTTGACCCCCTCCTCCCTGTGGCAGCCCCTCAAATATAGGAAGACTGCTATCATGTCTCCCCTGGTCCTTCTCTTTACTAGACTAGCCAAACCCAGTTCCTGCAACCGTTCATCGTATGTTTTAGCCTCCAGTCCCCTAATCATCCTGGTTGCTCTTCTCTGTACTTTTTCTAGAGTCTCAACATTTTTTTTATAATGTGGTGACCAAAACTGGATGCAGTACTCTAGGTGTGGTCTTACTAAGGCTTTATAGAGTGGTATTAGTACTTCCCTTGATCTTGACTGTATCCCTCTGTTGATACAACTTAGGATTGCATTGGCTTTTTTGGCTGC